TTCTGATTAGATTTGAAGTTTAAAACATTTCATGATGTTAAACTTATGTTTCTTCTTTATTGTTTTAATGTCTGTATTGAAATTTGGAACATAAATTGTTACAAAATGAAAGGAGTTTTTGCGATTGTGAAAGAGTTATTTCCCTTTTTTTAATCTTGTGTACCAGAGTTAAAATTTTTGAAGTTAACTTACCCCAATGTATTACAATGTAATGGGGGCAAATGACATAAACATTTCAACATCTATGATTATTTTCAGCATGAAAGAATACCTAAATGCAGTAAGACAGTTGGCTGACCTAAACTTAGATATATTTATCAAACATTCTTTATTAATATGGGGTCATCAGTTTTTAAATCCTCCCTCCCCCCAACACCTTTTTGTGGTATTGTTTTGAAGTTAATTAATTTTGTACTTTATTAATTTAATCATTTTTTTCATTTATTCACTTATTTAATGTGGATTTTACTTTAAAATCTTATTTATAATTTGTGTCACAACTATATCAGTCATAATGATTCCAAATAACTGTATTATTTTCATAGAAAATGTAGCAAATTGTTTATTAATATTGTATTGCAACTATTGAAAAAAAAATAGTGGTTGTTCAACCAGTAATTTGGTATTTATTCATAGTCAAATTAAAAAGATTGACATAGTTATTACAGTAATTTTATCTTGGGTCATCCTTTGCTATCACAAGATAACTGTTCATTCTTAATCTTATGGTAGCTAGGGATGATGAAAGCAATTGTATATTAGTATTTATCTGAAGGCAGCCATGCAGTGGCAATAAAGATAACTATCCTTTGTGTCTCGGGACATTTCTGTAGAAATCAGAGAAAAACAAAATTTAGCTCGGAGCATCCATTGGTGATAAAAATAAAAGTATGCTATTTATCTGCAAGCAGTCATTGGCTAAAAGGATCTACTTTCTGTTCAAAGTCAGCATTATGTATTTATCTGTGAAATAGCAAAAGAAGAAATTAATACACCATTGGAAAGTTACCACTGCTCTGTAGTAAGAAAATCTGCTCTGCAGAATTGCAGACAAATAAGCACATGTCCCTATGTATTATTCAATTTGTCTGCAATCCCATTCAGAATTACTAGACTGACTATGTACACAATGTAATTTAACGTGCCATTAGGTATATCTTTAGAAGTGAAGTGTTATTGAGGCATCAATTTTCAATTAGATCAGAGGTATTTCTGTAAGAGATTATTTCGATTTGATGATTATGTTTCCTTTACACACAAGCTGTACCAAGGTAATGTTTGGCATCATAACTTTACACAATGTACTCTGGGGAAATGATCTTACTGAGTGCCAACCAAGGTGTCAAAACATGCAGTCTTAAAGACAAAATATTTCAAGAAATAAACTAATACGGTTTTGATGATGGAATTAGAATTCACAACTTTTTAGTCCATGCTGTGTGCCTGTCTGGACCATAATGTACCTGAGGCATGGTATTGACACATAAAATCCAAACCCAGACTAAGTTATGTCCAGAACCATTCCAGAGTGATTCCAAAACACAATCTGCATCAATCACTTTCGAAGTTCACACAACAGATATTCAATGCTCCCCGATTTCACAGCCATTTGTCCCTCACACAATTTTTTCAACAATGAATAAAAGAAGCATTGAATTTGTTCACAAAAACATACCATACTAAAGACAGAACATAGTATACTATAACTTCCATCAATCTGTCTACATGTTTTTTTTTTCGTCATTTGCTGTCTGTTGTGCATAAACTTTCCATTCAAATGACTTCTCAATAACTCAGGGCACTGATATTGGGCCTGTAGCATGATGTTTATGTAAATGGCCCTGACCTGGTTTCACAGGGGTCAAATGTGTTGAAATGCTTAAGCAACTTCTCAGTAACCAAAAGGCCAAGGGTCTTGATATTGGGCCTCTAGCATGTTTTTTTCAACTAGCAATATGTTCAGAGTAATGGCATTTGTGTACTGCATGTATAAAGAATAAGGTTTCAGGTTTGCAGAAAATGTCTTGTTTAACCAACAATATCTTCTATGTAAGCTGTAGAGTAGTTGAGCAATTTATTTTAGGCCTATTTGGCCTCTTTCATATTTAGGTCTTTATAGTCAGATGACCTAAACAAGAGGCCCACGGGCCTTAAGGATCATCTGACTCGAATGGTCAAGATAACCTTCTGCTGTCATGTATCGTCCATTGTCATTGTGTGCTGTCTGTAAACTTTCCGTTTGAAACACTTCTCATGCTTAATGCCTGGGTGGATTTCAACCAAGTTTGGTCTGAAATGTCATCGGATGGGGATTCACATTCAGAAAACTGATTCAGCCCTTGGGGATTTGGGGCAGGGTCTCAAAATTAGGAATTTAGCCAATATTTTGCTTCAAAATGCTAGTTTTCCTTAATGCTTTATTGGATTCCATTCAAATTTTGTAGGAAACATTATTAGGGAGTATTTCGGTTTGGTGCTTTGGCGCAAAACATATTTTGTCTTGAACAAACAGTTTGCGACTACTTCAAAAGTTTCATTTACGTCATTGACAAAAATATTTGGAGTTTGATGTTGTCTTTCATGATGATCAACCACAGTAGCCATTTTGTAATATGATTGCGCAACAGTTTTTAATGTACTTACTTACCATTTATGAGTTTCTGATACTTTTAAGGAATGTTCAAAGTTTGAATTCAACTTTTAAGAAATGTTCAAAGTTCAGACCACCATCTGCAAATTTTGTGGTTTGTCCATCTGTTCATTGATTGTCGGATGACCGTTTGAAGCCTTGGCTCTCTTGTTCAGGATTAGTTGCATAAAATTCCCAGCCCCATGGTCTGTATGACTGTGAAGTTGGGATATATATTGTCTGTATGATATACCCATATAGACTTTGGTACTAAAATGCAGGCATAAGGTGACTTAAAAAGTTCTGATATACTTTTGACTGTTTTTCACATGTTAAAGTGAGTTTAATGTGTTATTTATGCTAGGTAAGCTTGGCAATGCAATATTTTTGTACTGACCCTATATATTATCAAATGTGAAATTATACAGTGACCATTGGACTCTCAAAATCATAATCCTGATCTGCTTGCTTTCTTAATCTGAAGTTGATGATTGAGTTATATTTGCCAAAGCACACAGATTTAATTTTGTGGAGATTAAGGAGCATTTGCTGTGTTAACTACAATAAACTAAGATTGAAGATGTTTAGTTTAAATATAAAAGAGATGAAATATTATCGACTAAACTTGGTCTGAATGAGTGTAGAATACAACTATGCAGACTTCAGGATACTTTAGTCACGTATGTAATCAGCATTTTGATAATAGTCATATAAAAATACTTTGGAAAGTAAAGCTTTTTCCAGACACGTTTACGTGAAAGGTCCTTTGATTGAAATAAAGGACATTACAGAAGCTGTTTTGGGAATGGTCTGATGTCCATGATCTAAGGGAGCCTTATTTGGTTGTCAGGGATTGTCTGGAACGGTGTGTCTTGTGACACACTGATTGTACCAAGAAACTGACTAGGTCCCATTGATCCGTACTGATTTAGATATGCCGTGCAGATAATTGCTGTACTGAGTTCAAAAATAGCTCGGCAATTAGACGCCTCTACAGTTACGGCACTTCAACAGAGATGGATGGTGTGGTACACCGGAGTTCACAGAGGTTTTCTTAAAGAATCGCTGTAAACCCAAGTACAAACTGATTTAGTTTGTGTGCATAATTTAATGGAAAGTTATTGTCTCTTTTTTTTCTAGTTTGAAAATAAAAGGCTCAGCTGTATTGGTCTGTACAGTAGCTATATACAACATTGATTAAAGCTATATGTTAGTAGTATATGGGCTGTATATTAGCTTCACTAAAGCTAACAGCTCCAGGAATTGCACTTGCTTTGCCAAGAATTAAAGGTTTTAAACTTAAAGGGAGTGAACTCTGGGTATGATATGTTATAATGACTAAAATGAAAATGAAGAATTCTAGATAATAAGACTTCATCACCTAATTCAGTTATCTCCCACGATGGAAATCTGAAAGAATCTGTTATCAGAAGTGAGAATATTTTTAGATAAATATTGTCCATTATTACCATGGACCTTCAATAGTTCTCATTGCAATATCATTAATTTTTTTGAAGAAAAAATATGCAAAAATGACATTAAGACTTTTTAATGTAGCTGTTGACTTAAGTGGCCTATTGTGTTACACTGTATCTGCAGAACAGACTACCATATTGTAGAAGTTGTAGAGTACAAGTCACTAGCCTTGGCTAGTGGAAGTTTCTCTTTATTCTTGCGGTAGAGTATCTGGCCAGAGACAGAAGGGTTGCGGGTTTGATCCCCACAAGGAGCAGAGTGTTTTTCATTATTCTTTCCTATTGCAATATCAGCATCATCATCGTAGCTCAGAAGTATTAATTTACAGGCATCACTTCAATGACTCGTGGATTATAGTTTCATTGTGCACAAAATTGATTGATGTTATATTGTCTTATAGACTCATCAGCATTCCTCAATGACTCCCTACAATTATCACATTCACTAATCAGCATCCTTTAGTCAATGACTTTTTGACTAGTATTGACTCAAATACAACGATGGTTACACTGCTCCGAGCATTGCCTCATTGACTCGGTCATTAAATATTGGTTAGACTCCTCAACATTTCTCAGCGACTTATTGACTCAAGCAGACTCAGTCATTAAATATTGGCTAGACTCACCAACATTTCTCAGCGACTTATTGACTCAAGCACAGATATGCACTGGACTCTGTGACTCTGGAGGATTGACTTTGTGTCGAGTTTCTTTGATCTGTTATGGGGACCACTGTTAGACTTCATTTTCATAATTGGCTTGAGATTTTTCACTCGATATTTTTTTCTGAATGGCTTCAAAACAAAAAGTCCATATACATGTATAGTATGGATGTAGACTTTATAATGTTTGTTGTATAAAATATCTTCATTTTCTCAATATGGTTCTCTTTGCAGAGGCAGCTGGGTTCACAGAAACAACGATGACATGCAATGGTGTAATGTTTAAAGACTGTAGCCCTACATTCTGCATAAGTCGGCAAGGCATTATAAACATCAACAAAACCAGCTCTGTGTTCAGCTTTAGGCGGAAAAACAAATTTACTAAGATGGCAGAGCACTTTGAATACAATCATATCCCTGCTCATCTGTCGTCAATTCAGAACTTTCATGTAAAAAGTGTAGTGTGTTACCATGACACCACTGTCGTGCTTCACCTGGTACGGAACATGATGACTCAGTTTGGGGTCATAGACCTAGGAATAAACAAATTTCTGGGTATATTTGGTAAAAAGACTGCTGAGTTTGTAAATGAGGCAGTGCGGGGCCAGATCAGCCCAGACGGCTCCCTTTGCCTCATTAAGATACCCAAGCTTAGTGACAATAACAGTGCCTTTGTCCTCCAGCTTTACTGCCTCAAGACAAGAGAACTAGTACGCGAGCTTGCCCTACCCTTTCATCACAGTCTATTTGCCTTTGACCCTCGCTTCACTTCCAGTCGCATCGCAGCTACCAGCTTCGTAACTGGGGAGGACAACAGCTTGAGTCTGATTTACACTGATTCATGGGAGGTGATCAGTACCAACACGCGTGTTGATGATATGCGACCAAGTCTACACCCTACGCTTAAAGACCTCTTCTACTCGAAAGATGGCTATCTCATCTTTGCTGTCATGGTAACTGCTGGCTGTCACTGCAGGGAGAAGAAACTACGTCGACATTTACCCATCGAAATTAGCATCTACATCTTCAATGCAGATACAGCGCAAACTCTACACTGTGTACAGTACAACAGGTATACGTGCGGACAACACTCATGCCCAACTAACTTCATGCCACTCTTCTCTAATTGTGGCAGTCGTATGGCTATTGTCCTTAATGATATGGAAACTCCAGTTGACCACCTACAAATCTACAAACTGCCAACTGCTGGAAGCTTGCAGAACCGCAGTCGTATTCGTATTCTGCAGACGTTTGCCCCAGAGATCCTCCCGAAACTGCCCCTCCCTGCCCGTCTGGTCCAGTATCTACAATTTCAACCAGAATTTGCCTAAGTCTCAATGCTATAACTGTTTGGGCATGGAGCTGTCCTTCATTTTGTTCATTTGTATAACTGATCCTCTCTCTGATCAGTTTTAAAAAGATGCAGTGGTTGATATTGTTATTCTAGTCTGCTTGAATAAACTTCACATGTTACAACACAAGTAAGTTGTTGCTACAATAATGAGAAATGCTGTCAAGAACACTTAGTGTAGTTCAAGTGAAGTCAAGCTAAGAATATATTTCTGAATCAGAACTCCTTGTAAATAACCAGGAACACCTGATATTGATTGGCTTAACTCAGGATAGAAGTAAAAGTGCAAATTTTTCCTCTCTGCATAGTTTTCCCAACTGCTGCAATATGTTATAATGACTAAGTGTCAATATACGTAAGTATTGTCATCAGTATATTACAAAGTGTGTCAAAAATTACATCATGTATGTGTTAATGAAATGTATATCCCATTATACATGTACATATATAACATGTTATGTCTGAATACTTCATAATATGTTAACATATTAATTATGTGTCAATATATTATAGTATACATGATGATATATCAAACAGTGTGATTGCACAGTATATTACATATTGTGTCAATATCATGTCACTATATGGCATTGTTTCTCAGTTTATTACAAACTGTGTCAATATATCACATAGTGAGTCAATATACTACATAGTGTGTCAATATATTACATAGTGTGTCATTATATTACATAATGTGTCAATATATTACATAGTGTGTCAATGTATTACATAGTGTGTCAATATATTACATACTGTGTCAATATATTACATAGTGTGTCATTATATTACAAACTGTGTCAATATATTACATACTGTGTCAATATATTACAAACTGTGTCAATATATTACATAATGTGTCAATGTATTACATAGTGTGTCAATATCATGTCACTGGATGAGAATGTTTCTCAGTTTATTACAAACTGTGTCAATATATTACATATTGTGTCAATATATTACATAGTGTGTCAATAGCATGTCACTGTATGACAATGTTTCTCAGTTTATTACTAACTGTGTCAATATATTACAAACTGTGTCAATATATTACATAATGTGTCAATATATTACATAGTATGTCAGTATATTATGTAATGTGCCAGTATAAAACAAGGTATGTCAATTTATTACGTAATATATTAGTTATATTGCAACATGTTTCAATATATTACATATTGTATCAATATGTTTCATAATGTAACAGTATATGACATATTGTGTCTTTGTATTACATGGTGTATCAATGTAATTTGTATAATATATTAGTTATATTGAAACACCTGTCAATATATTTCATAATGTGTCTGGATATTACATAATGTGTCTGGATATTGGATATTACATAATGTGTCTGGATATTACATAATGTGTTGATATAATACTTAGTGTGTCAATATATTACATGGTGTGTATATTATATATTACATTTTATCTGGAAAGTCAATATGTTACAACATGTATCAGTTATACCATAATACCTGTCAATATATTATTCATTTATTGTAACATGTTGACAGATGTTGCTGTAGTTAATGTATGTATCTTCATAAGATGTTGATACAGTATAATCCTATGTGTCAGTCAAATAGTTTTTTATAAACAGCAGATGTAAAGCTCAGTAAACTTGAGTAATAGTTTTGGAATCACAAAGATGGAGAAATCAGAAGCTAGGAAAAGGACAGGAGACCCACATTAACACACTTCTATGATAAGAAATTTACAAATTGCAGAAAATTTGTAACCATATACACTCAAGATTAATGGTACTGTTATATTAGAATCACACCCACATCACCATTTAAAACAGGTGGATGAAAGAATGTTTTTTTTTCCTATGGCACAAAACCCAAAAATGAAAAGTAATTTGAAAGAAATTTTAAAATATACACTAAATAAAATGGTGTTTCATTCTAATGTAATTTTAAACTTAATTGTAAAAAAATATATAGGCCAAAAATGTGGCTGACAGCTAATTGTAGTAAAGAGATGTGTGAGTTCTCTACAAACACCTCAGTGTTATCTAGTCACTCCTTCATACAGCAACATGCTCACCCTAGATAGAAGCTCACCCTCATCTTCATACAAGTGAACTTGGTGCTTGTAGTGATAGTATACCCAAAAGTGTATTGATATTGAGAGAGACAACACAGGCAGACATTAAATGGATGACCACCTAACTGTGAGTTAAAGCCTTGTCCTGTGATACTATGTATTATCCAATCAGTGCCAGTTTATAGCCTGTATTGCTCATGTTGATTGCTCTTAATTTGTGGTTGTGATTTCTGTCAAAGCTTTGACTTTCAGATGATAATAAAATCTACATTTCACAAGTTGTATAGTTATGTAAGTGGTGTTCAAAATAATGTGAGGGCCTTAATTCTGCAGTCAGGGAGATAGTACAGTGGGACTTTCAATGTATTAGGCATATGCTGAAAATTGGACCTCCTTGTTACAAACAGATATCTTAAAACACCAGTTTTTAATGTAGCAAAGAAATTAATATTCAGTGATTTTAATAGCAATACACTGTGTTAGGTGGATGTTCACTTAATGTAAGCCTGTTAAAGGAGAATTTATTTTTGATAATACTAACAATCCTTTCCTACACTAGTTAAAACATCTGCAATGATATTTACAGAAAATTTAAATCAAATTCATTGTTACTGTCACAGCTTGAGATATAGATCAAAGCTTAATGGTTCTTATGGCAGTACCGTATTTATCCACAGATAAACCCCTGCCCTTAAAACAGCCCCTCTTCCGTAGTTCACAAGTAATCCCTTCCCATACTTTAAAATAACCCTTATGTGACGTCGCTCTTTCTAGAGCCTGGTAATCTGGTTAGTTTTACAAAATAGGCTATCTGGTTTTTGAACTTCTATCTAACCTTGGCATTTTTGAGTTTGTTTACTAACCACAAGAGGCAGCCTAAGGATAAGGATAAGAAATTTTTTGTAAGCAAAGTAAATTTAACAAGATCAGTATATTGAATAAGGGTAGAAAAACATGATGGTCACTCATGATCAGCAGAGGTATAAACACGGATTTCAGTATTGTAACTTTGTGCTAACAAAGTCTTAACAGAAAAAAAAACAACAAAAAAACAGAACAGCATTCTTTTAGTTTTTCTTTTGATAACATATTTATGTCAGATATTAAATAGAACTTGTGAAATGTTAAAAAAAGACAAAGATATTATTATATTACAATACTGTCAGATAGATGTATTAACAGCTGGAAATGTCTGTATTCAGCTGGAGTCATTTGATACCAGAAAACTGAACACAGGTAATGGAGATGTACAAGGCCTTTCGTGTGCCGGTACCCGAAATCCTCGAAACTGTACTTACACTACAATATCATTTCACGATACTACCAGCAGTGTAAACAATCGTCATCTCAAAAAGTTATGGTTAGGTATGTTTTTTATTTGCTTATATTAATGTAACGCTAATGATGTCAAAGACTTAATAGAAATTGAAATTATGGATGATTATCTCATAAAAGCTGAAAAATAAAGCAAAAAACATGGGTTTTGGAAACAATATTGCCAGTAAAAGAGACCAGACAGTTATGGTTACATTGTGCATTTCAATGATATTTATGTGATATGTATATATAGGTTGTTTTATAAGGGAATTAGTCCATCGAAAAGTTTACTTCCTTAAAATTGCCAAAATCTGGATCAGTAGGTCAAACATATATATCAATATGTGACTCTGGTAGTGAAAGTAATGTTGTGATACATGTGTTTTATGTGTTTGTTGTGATGTAAGTATATCTACCATTGAATTAAAGTCATTTAATTGTTTTATCCTAATAAATCTGCAGGAATGGACAACCTAAATAGTTAACTTTTACACTAGAGCAGGGAGCTTATATGAGGATAAATACGGTATATTTAAATAATTTAAGAGTAATTAGGGGAAGTCCACTTTTCTTCCTAGAGAAATTTTTACTTAAGCAAGCATATTAATGATTGACACTTTTGAACAGTGACAGTGAAAATTGTAAAACATTTGAATTGGTATTTATCTATTCCGATAAGCTTGTGTACAATGGATCTTACACATATATTGTGATGCTTTGTTTATGTATTTATATACAAACTGTTAATCAGATACAAAATCAGCATTCATTCAGAAACAAATTATTTTAAAAAGAATGGATTTGTTAGGTTCATAAAAAAAGTCGTAAGAGAATGTAACAATCCGTTTTGAAGTCTGTATAACATTATGTGATCCACTATGAAAACACTGGTGCAAGAAATGTTTTCCTCGGGCAGGACAATCATGTTTGTTAGTGTGCCTGACAGACGTATTACAAATAGATACAAAGTACAGCTGGTTCCTTTCATGTCAAGAAACTTGAAAAAATATGAAAATATTTAAATGATATAATGTCTGTGATGTTAAATTTTTATCCTTTTCACTGATTTGAATGTTTTTGCAAATGAAGTTTTAGATAAAAGTTTTGGTGAGTCATTGAGTCATTACTGAAATCGACAAGGGATATAGACAACAGCTTTAGGAGATATATAGTAATGCTGATAAGCTCTCCTTTACACCATTTAACAGACATTGTGTCTAAGAGGTGCAGCTTTGACTCTTGAAGGGTTCTGCTTCTTCCCAAAACTTAAAGGTATTAAAGATCCATATTATTTAGGGCCAAAATAGAGGGAAAAAAACTCTTGATTTAAATTTTATGTATTCATGAATTACAATAGGAAAAAATATTTAAAAACCAACAGGCATTCACTCCTGGTGATGGGTCACAAAATGTTGAAAATGGTGGAAACTTAAGAGTGTGTAGCATGGTGTTGTTATAAATATATGTTACTGCTGTGAGATTTTTTGTGCTTTATAATCAAACTTGTTAAACAAATGTAATACAGTCAATTGTTGTATTCTAATTAACATGCAGGCTTTAAGGCTTTGTGATACTTTAGAACTGAGATGTGATATAAGGACCTATATCCTT